GCAGCCTGCGGGCAAAATTTGGCCAAATCGGGCTGCTCGTCGTACGCGATGAGAAATGCGCGGCTCGATTTGGCCAAATTTTGCCCGGCAGGGCCCCTGGACATTGAAATGAAATTGATTTTTTAAATTCCCCGATACTAAATCACGAGCCCGGGCCTCCCTTCTCTTCTCTTGTTCTCTTTTAAATCTCAAATCACACCAAAGGAAGCTTCTTTTCCTTATTGAATGAAACAGAAAAAGAAGAAAAGAGATAGGTAAAGACACTGAAGAGCTCCACTGCCTACTGTTTCATTCCTTTCCTCTCTTTCTATGTGTTGTTGTCCTTGTCGTTTCAGAAAGCTAGCAAAATAAGGGCAAGGGGGCTTTAAATTATTAAAACTATTTAATTCCACCCTGGAATTAAATATTTTAAATAATTTAAATAATGTAAATCCGAAAAGGGGGGGGGCCAAAAGTGCCCGGAGGCTGCCCGGCAAAATTTGGCCAAATCGAGCCGCGATAGTTTAAATAATTTCGGGCCTCCAGAAAGGCGCGGCTCGATTTGGCCAAATTTTGCCGGGCAGCCTCCTGGCAAGATTTGGCCAAATCGAGCCGCGCATTTCTCATCGCATACGAAGGGCAGCCCGATTTGGCCAAATTTTGCCCGGAGGCTGCCCGGCAAAATTTGGCCAAATCGAGCCGCGCCTTTCTGGAGGCCCGAAATTATTTAAACTATCGCGGCTCGATTTGGCCAAATTTTGCCGGGCAGCCTGCGGGCAAAATTTGGCCAAATCGGGCTGCTCGTCGTACGCGATGAGAAATGCGCGGCTCGATTTGGCCAAATTTTGCCCGGCAAAATTTGGCCAAATCGGGCCCCTGGACATTGAAATGAAATTGACTTTTTAAATTCCCCGATACTAAATCACGAGCCCGGGCCTCCCCCTCAATACTAAATTACGAGCCCGGGTCTCCCTTCTCTTCTCTTGTTCTCTTTTAAATCTCAAATCACACCAAAGGAAGCTTCTTTTCCTTATTGAATGAAACAGAAAAAGAAGAAAAGAGATAGGTAAAGACACTGAAGAGCTCCACTGCCTATTGTTTCATTCCCTTCCTCTCTTTCTATGTGTTGTTTTCCTTGTCGTTTCAGAAAGCTAGCAAAATAAGGGCAAGGGGGCTTCCTGAAGAGGAGAGAGGGCACCTATTTTTTAATTATAGAGGGAAAAGCGAGAGACAAGGAAGGGACAAAAGATAGATAAAGAAGAGTGCTATCCGTCTCCTTGTTTCTTGTGTCTTCTCTTCTTTTCAGTTCATCGTATTCCTCTTTTCGGCCTGTCTCTTCTGCTCTTTTCCTTACCCTTCTCCTTTTCAAGTTCTTCCTTTTTCGTTTTTCTGTTTCGAAAAGAAAGAGGGAAGGGAGAGAGAAGGGAGAGAGGATAGATAAAGAAGAGTGCCATTTTCTTTGCGCCTTGTTTTGTCTCTCCATCTTCTTTGTTCGTCTCTCTTTTCTATTCTTTTCTTGGCTCTTCCCATTAGAATTGTCTTCCTTTTATCTCTCCTCTCTCCTTCTCTTTCCCTTCTCTTCTCCTGTTCCCCTTTAAATGACAAAAACACGAGAAAGGAAGAACAAGAGAGGAATGGAGGCCCTTTTCCTGAATTCTCCTGTTGCAATGAATAAGGAAAAGAGCATAGGAGATAAGGAAGGGAATTGTGGGCGATGGAACGGGTGTCCTTTTTGATAGTTTTCTGCATCTTCAAGGAAGAAAAAGGACACCCGCCCAAGAAGGAAAAGTAACATAAGAGATAGGGAGGAAATTGAAAAGCTCCTCTCTTTACCTAGTCATTTCCTGTCCTCTCTTCTTATTTGTTGTTTTTCTTATTCGCTTCAAAAAGCAAAATAACAAAATAAGGGAAAGGCGATTTCCTGAAGAGGAAGAAGGGCGCCTACCTGTGAATAGCAAGGTTGATTTTTTCTAATTAGGGAGAGACTTGCCCCGCCTGAGCCTCCCTTGCCTGCTTGTTGTGGCCACATTCCGGTACAGTTGCGCTTCCAGAAAAATGGCATCCTTGTTATCTCCTCTCACTTCCCTTTCCCTTCTCTCCTTCTGTTTCCTTCTGACTGATAAACCACAAGAAAGGAACTTGTATGATAAGGCAGTGGAAGGGTAAGCAGAGGGTGACTCCTGGCGCGTGGACCGGTCCATACTTCATCATACCCCTCCTCTCGGCCTATCTCTTCTGTTCCTTTCCTTACCCTTCTCCTTCTCATAGTTCTTCCTTTTTGTTTTCTTATTTCGAAAAGAAAGATGGCAGGGAGAGATAAGGAAGAGAGGATAGATAAAGAGTGAGTGCCATCTTCTCTGCGCCTTGTTTTGTCTCTCCCTCTTCTCTATTCATCTCTCTTCTATTCTTTTCTTTGCTCTTCCCATGAACAATGCAATCCTTTTGTCTCTCCTCTCTCCTTCTCTCTCCCTTCTCTTCTCCTGTTCCCCTTTAAATGACAAAAACGCAAGAAAGGAAGAAC